CTTTATGCAAAATATTCCAATAGAACATCACTTATATACCCTACAACCCTATGTGTTGAGCACCTTCAAATATTTGCCCCACAATATTTTACATAAATCTTCGTATCTAGCCGAGCTTAGTCGATTGTTAATTTTCCTTGTTAATTTTTAATCACGCTGCAGGTCGTGATTATGGATATATCGATACGTTTTGCGTGGAATTAGGAACAGAAGCTCATCAATTTAGATGGTCATAATAAATATAGGTATTTTCAGAAATTTTACTGTTATTTATAGTTACGTAGTGCAGGATTTGTATAATTTTTTTATTTTATTATTTTAGGGCCAGAATTTTAAATTTAACATTCAGATAATGAGATGTCGTACATATAGAGACAATTTTTTTGTCTAATTTTGATATTAGATATTACGCCATAATATGCATACATTTTTTGGCGAAAATAGTTTCGTTAAAGTTAAAAAGTATCTGTCGGTTTTTTTCGATAGATATATACCCTCAGCCACTGTTCGTTTATATACATCTATAAATATTTTTCTAACTTGTGTTGTGATTATTCATACTGTTTACCCTTTATGGGGGAGGTACCAAAAAAGTGGGCCAATGTTGTACATTTCGTATCTGACCAAAGTCTGATATAATTGAGAAATGTAGGTACCACTGCAGTATGCCTATGAAATCTTTATTTGCATCAAATCCCTGGTTACCAAAATTTCAAATAATCGAAGACTTGTTTTACATATATAGGATATATCGGACCTCCTTTGAGGGCTTTAACAAAGTGGTGGTACGATATCTATCATCTTCACAACAAATCTTGTGTTAATAGAAATATTATAATGTGTGAGATATAAAGAGAATCGGATGCTTACTTTACAAATTATAAGAGATTGAATAATTATCAAAATTTTTTACCCTTTGTGGGGGAGGACCGACATATTTCATCTTCACACCAGATCTTTTGTTAGTTGAAATACTGTGATGTGCGAAAATTTATTTATTTTAATCGCATTTTATGGGAGTTATAATTATTACAAATGTTGACCTTTTCTGTGGGAGGTACGGAGATGGGCAATATCGATCCACTCCTTTTGGCATTATCCCACAAAAAAATCGAAATTTTCAAACATCCGAGTTCGTTCCATCTTTGCAAATCCTAATGTTTTCGTCGGTGCTAGGTCAAGTATGAAAATGGACAAAACCGAGGTTAACCGCATCAAATAAACGCTTATATTGCGAATTTTTTGCGAGTTTTTTTAAATTTATAATCAGATGGAGCAAACATATGGAAGCTACGTCTAAATTTTAATTGATTTTCAGGCCCCGAGAAGGCCGAAATCAATATATCGGTACTATAAGTATATTTGATCCGATATGATCCACATATGACACACTTTATTTTAGTTGGAACTTTTTTGTACCATATGAAGATCTTCTTCCAAAATAACACAATATTCGCACACATTCTGATTTTTCTGAACATTACCATGATTTTCGAAGTAGTGTCGAAATATTTCCCAGCGTTGTTCAAGCATATAATATAATTATATTCATTCTGCGGATGGATAAAACTAATTATCTTGCAAATCAGGCAATGGAATGGATGGGAGATATATATGAGATCGATTACAATAGAACTTTTCACCAAAAATAATTAGGAAATATAGACGATTGAAATAACATAAGTCAGGAGGTAGCCGTAAAATCGATTTTGTTATTAAAATAGGCAGAAATTTTCTGATCTAGTTTTTATACCTTAAAACACTATGTGTTCGGGTAGTATAAGTCTGATTGGGCCAAAAATATATACATGTTTTTTTTTTTTTTTAAATCAAAGAAAAAAATAAAAATTTGGCGGTTGGCAACGTTAATCATTTAATTTGTTCCAAGTTGATTTGTTCACATCAACTTTTGAATATCAAATGGCCGCCTCTGGCGTTGATGATATATTGTGCCCTTTTTGCTGCATTTTCCATCGTTTTTGCCAACATTTCGGCCGGAATAGCGGCTATTTCTTCACGAATGTTGTCCTTGGGCGAACGCGGTGGCCAGTCCAAATCACCGCTTTTCGACATCAAACGGCCCGGAAACATATTCTTCAGAAAATCGATTGTTATGCGACTTGTGTGCGGTGGAGCGCCGTCTTGTTGAAACCAGAACTGCCTCATACGCTTTCGAGGAATAATTGGCATCACAAAATTGATGGTAACAGCATGGCCATTTTCATTTTGGAAGAAGAACGGCCCAATGACCGTTTTCGCACTAACGCCGCACCAAACTGTGACTTCTTCGTCATGAAGAGGCACTTCTTGAATCTCCTGAGGATTTTCAGTGGCGTAAAAACGGCAAATTTTGCTTATTTACGGTCCCATTCAATGTGAAATGGGCTTCATCGGATATGATAATTTTGTTCCAAAATTGCTCGTCATCTTCGGCCATTGCGATGACTCTTTGGGCCCATTCCAATCGACGAGGCTTGTCTGCAGGCAACATTCTTTGAATTTTGTACGGGAACAAATGCAAATCAATGCGAATAATCCGTTGTAAAGTGGACCGAGCCATGTCCAACTGCTGAGAACGGCGTTTTTGGGATGTTCTTGGGGACCTCTCAACACTGGCTCGTACGGCAGCGATATTCTCGGCCGATCGCCTCGGTCGACTTTTATATGGCCTCTTCGGATTAGAAAGAGCCTTACCAGTAGAAAATTTTTCGTATAAACGCTTAATGGTGTTCTTAGAAGGCGCACTTCTCACATTTTTTAATGTTTTAAAAGCAAGTTGAGTTTTCACAATTGACTTCTTCTGTTGAATGTAAATTTCAACAATTTCAGAGCGCTCGCGTGGCGTGTATTGGTTCATGGTAAAAATCAGCTTGGACTGACGCTTCTAACTCGGTATGTCATTAAGCGATGTGACATCTCTGTCAAAAGTTATGGCGTTGCCAGATGGGTCCGTCGAATATGGGCAACCCTGTATATATATTGAACTTCCTATCTCACCTAGCTGAGTCGATCTAGCTATGTATGTCCGTTCGTCTGTCCATGTCAATTTGTAATCAGGTCTGATTCTTACGAAATGGAGGTGGGATAGGGTCAGAATAGAAGCATATTGTTTTTGGAGATGATCGCAAAATATTAAAGGGTTGATATGGACGGAGAAAAAAACATAAAATACTCTTGATTTTGCTGTTGCTCCACAGTCCACATTTAGAGTTTAGGGCTGCGCAGAAGCCTACCCACCGAAATATTTAGCAAATAAAATAGACTATAACTTGAATGTAAAAAATGCGAACATTTCCGCTAAACCGCGAATATTTTTAATCCCTTTAGTGGTTCAAATGGACCAAAAAATTATAATTTACCTGATTTTACAGTCGTTCTACAGATAACATTATTTTTCAAATTTTTAAAATTGAAAATTATACATTGATATATAGTTTTTCTTAACTAGCAGTGAATTTTGATGCAGAATTTTTTTAAAATTTTTGACACTTCTTGACAAGTCAAATTAACATCAACATCGAACACACCTTAAATATGAATCTTAGGATTAACATTTCGTTAATTTGTATGGATTTGAGTATTCATTGGTAAGATCTATACTTTTCTTTCCTCCTCTCTCTATTTTATCAAAATTTTCCTAAAAGCAATCTTTTTAGAGTTATTTAGCCCATATGGTCTCAACATAGGTACTAAAAAGATATCAATTTAAACTTTTGCTACACAGCAATTAACCATAAAAATTCTACACATTTCAAATTACTTTCGCTTTAAATGTAAAACTTCTTTGGGAAATGGCGTATTGGCCCTTGGCAAATATTTACAATCAGGGAAGCCAGCCAACTAAGGAGGGTGGGAGGATACAATTTAATTAAGTAGTTTAGTATTGCATTGTTGAGACTTACCAACGGCACAATACTATAACGCAGAATATCCTTAGTTTCATTTACTTCGGGAGAAGTTTGGTTTTTCTTGTTGTTGTTACTGTTTCTCTCATTGTTGTTGTTCGGTGTTTTGTTCGCTCTCGGAAACTCTCAAGAAATAATTTCATTTCACAATCATTGACGCAGCAATATTTTGGCCCATCGCCCACTCTCTCACGCACACACACACACGCGCACCCACACATCATTCATTCTTTTGCTCCTCATTCATTGGAAGTATTTAATCTAAAAGGATTTCCAAAGAGTGAAAAAGGATTTATTTATTATAGAGAAATTTGTCAGAATCCATAAAACAAAGGAAAATGCTAATAAATGGTAGATTGGGTCGAGCAATAAAATCGGAAAGGTCTACCGTGGTTGGGTAGCCAGCCAGCCAGCCGGTGAGTGCTTCGCAAAAGAAAAAGTTTGTTTGCAAACAAATGAATTGAAATTTTGTTTTTGTTAAATAAATTAATGCCCAAAGTATTAACAACAATACTCCGGAATAATGTCTAAGCGAAGTTAAGTGAAGGGGTTTTGCGAGCAGCCAACAGCCATTTGATGTGAATTGAAATGCAAAAAGGTCAACAAACAAAACGAGGATCAAAAGTTTTTTTCCGTCGTTGTAACCAAATTTCTAAAAAGTATTTTTCATTAGCAGCAAATGATTTGTGTATCCAAAATTAGAAAATCCCCAAGGGATGTTTAACGGGGGGATGGTGGGTGAAATGAATGTATGGTGGCCAAGGTGCTAAAGTCAACGAATATGTGTTTGTGGTTAATTCATTAATTTCCAACAGGAAATTCAGTGGTTGGTCAGGGAGGTGAGGTGAGGCCATTACGGGAAAATGTTTCATGTTCTGCAAAACTTTTATTTCATGATATTGTTTTGCTTTTAGATGGAAATTTTTGTGGACATTTGTTATTATAATTGATGACGGTGGTGAGGAGGGGGGGAAATGGAAATTTTTGGTCGTCGATTGACAATAACAAACTTTTTTATTATGCTATAAATAAAAAGCTTCCGTTTTCACTGCAGCAACACCAATACTAATTCGCTTCTTTTTTCTTTTTATTTACAGGTATGTTGGATGAAAAAAATCATATATTTGCAAGAAGGTATTTGATAAGAATGGTATTTGATAAGAATGGTATATGAAATGATGAGAAACCCTTTAAATATCCAAACACAAAATAAGATATTGTGAAGAGAGCGGAAATATTAGGAAGAGATTCGAAAGAAACTTATGGCTTAAATGTCCTCACCATACCCTCCACCATATAGAGTTTGGCATTCCTATTATAAATTCTCCAAATAATAATTTAAGACCCCACCAGGTATATATGCATACATATCTCTGACCAGCATAAACTTATATGTCGATTTTAGCATGTCTGCCTGTCTTGGGAAATTTTTATAGCTTCCGCCCGTATTGGAGTAATTTTATGAATTACCGCGCCACTGAAATGCTATGTCTTTGTGCATTTGTTTGTAACATGAAGAAAGAAGCGAGATAAATCCATAGTTACTTTTGAGGACCTTCATGGAATCACTTTCTGAGTCGATTTATGCATGTCAGTTCGTCTATCCATGTATATTTGTGAACAGAATGCAGGTCGCACTTATTATCCAACTGGTATGAAATTTTCAAATCAATATTTGTTTGGCGCAAGGACAGACCCCATTGAAATTAGTGAGAATCGGTTCAAATTTATATGTAGCTCTCATATATAATTTCAACCGATTTCGAATAATTGTGGCCCAATATCCCAATATCAATCCAAATGGCCTGGATTTTGGTACATTCAACCGAATTAAGTCTAGAAGTAAGCACATCAAATTTGGTGAAAATCAGTTCAGATATAGCTTTAGCACCCATATATATGCTTCATCCGATTAGGTGTTTAAGACAATCATATGCGTAATATGCACTCCACAAGAATAATATATGACACCACATAACTTATGGAGCTCAAAAGTACCTATGCCAAATCCGATTATCAGATTAGGATCCCCTATACAGGGTGAGGTAAAATAACTGCAACAAAGTTAAAAGCCACAATTTTTACATTATTTTTTAAATTTATTGAATGAAAGCAAAAAATGTCGGAAATAGCATCAAATTTTAGAGTAAGTTTAGATTTGTTAGAATTGGTCGCCTTTGGCATGAATTATGACCTTCAAACGGGCAACGAAACCATCACACGCTGTCCGAATGTTGCTAAGCGTTGTTTTGGCCCATTATCGGCGAAGCGCATGCTTGAGGTGATCGACACTTTGGTATTTTTTAGTGCCAACCTTGCTTTCCAAAATACTTTAGACACAATAGTTCAACGGATTGGTATCCGCAGGTTTTGGTAGCCATTATGCGCTGGAAATGAAGCGAGGGCCCTCATTTTGTAACCATTCTTGGGTGGTGCGTTCTGAGAGTGATGGTACTGAGTCCTGTTGGAATGTCCAAGGTCTGGGGACAAAATGTTTGCGTACCCAAAGCTTTAACACACCCTCCAGAATATTTTCGCGATAATATTCGGCATTTATTCTCATCCCACAGTCGATTTATACTCGCGGAGAGCGATCATCGGCTGTTATGACGGCCCACACCATCACCATGGGCGGCGCCTGAGTTCCGGTGGCCAATCGAAGGTGCACATTTTCAGCTGACCTCTTTGGCAAGTAAACACGATCATTTTGTTTGTTTACAAACTGCTGGACAACGAATGTTTTCTCATCGGAGAAAAACAAATTCGGAAGTTCACTACTTTCGGCCGAGCGGAGCAACTCTTTAGCTCTTTTGAGTCTATTTTCTTTCGGTAGCGGCTTTACCCCGAGCTCATTTTTCAATATTTGCCGAATGGAATATAACGATATTTTCAGCTCACTAGCCATGTTTCTTTCACTGCGGCGCGGGTTTCGATCAACTCGCTTCTTTTCTTTTCGAACCATTTCTGCTGATGTTGCTGTTTTTTTTTTTCGTCCACTTCCTTGACGTCGGGCTACGCTACGAGTATCACAGTAACGAGAGGTGGTACGAGACACAAAAGATTTATTCACATTTAAATGCTGGAGTTCTCTAACGATAGCCACTTGTGGGTTTCCAGCCAAATACAGGGTTGCCCATATTCGACGGACCCATCTGGCAATGCCATAACTATTGACAGAGACGTCACATCGCTTAATAACATACCGCGTTTGAAGCGTCAGTACAAGCAGATTGTTACCATGAACCAATACACGCCATGCGAAAGCTCTGAAATAGTTGAAATTTACATTCAACAGAAGAAGTCAACTGTGAAAACTCAACGTGCTTCAAAAACATTAAAAAATGTGAGAAGTGCGCCTTCTAAGAACACCATTAAGCGTTTATACGAAAAATTTTCGAGTGGTAAGGCTCTTTCTAATCCGAAGAGGCCATGTAAAAGTCGATCAAGGCGATCGGCCGAGAATATCGCTGCCGTACGAGCCAGTGTTGAGAGGTCCCCAAGAACATCCCAAAAACGCCGTTCTCAGCAGTTGGGCATGGCTCGGTCCACTTTACAACGGATTATTCGCATAGATTTGCATTTGTTCCCGTACAAAATTCAATTGACGCAAAGAATGTTGCCTGCGGACAAGCGTCGTCGATTGGAATGGGCCCAAAGAGTCATGGGTCCGTCGAATATGGGCAACCCTGTATAAAGAAATCACACTATCACGCTTGAATTCCATCACGAATAACTTGTTCTTTGTAAAATTCTCACCAAAATGCTTTTGTACGCTTGTAAACAATATAATGAGCTGTCACTGGAATATTTTTAACAGCTGTCGGACGAGTGGCTTAGAAATGACAGCAGTCTGAAATTGGTTGCAATTTTTTCATCTCACCCTGTATATGAGTATATACTATTATTTATTAAATTCATCCTTAAAAAATTCTGCGTCGCAGCATGTCGTTTTTGGCCTCAGTTCTTGCACTTGCTGTATTTTGAAAGATTCCAAATCTGAATCCTTCCGCAAAATTTCCATATTTTTGAGTAACATAGGGACAAATGCTGCCAACGGTGACTTGGCCATTGTTGGTAATCCTTAAACACTGGCCGATACAGCTGCGATATTTTCTTCAATTCACACTGTACGTAAGTGTGTTGGTGGTTTAATGTCTAGTCATGTACATTTTGTGTGAAATTTAGTCACAATAACCCAAAAACCGCTTTAGTAGCTCGATTTAACTGACCATAAAATGAAGGAAGCACACCATGAACTTTCATAACAGATCACACACTTAAATTATCAAAAATTTTGATTTGATTTTTTGATTTTGACAGTGAAACGAAACTAAGTCCGTGTTGCCAAAAAGATAATATCTAAAAATATCGGCCTTTTCATCGTTCGCTTTTTTTACACCCTGTACCATATAGTGGTAGGAGATAGACCCATGGAGAGGGAAACGAGATATACCCATAGTTACTTTTGAGGATCTCCATAGAATCACTTTCTGAGTTGATTTATGCATGCCAGTCCGTCTATCAATGTATTCGTGTATATGTATGTATTCAGATATAGCTATAGCTCCCATATATATATTGTTCATCCGATTTGTTGTTTTTGTTACCCACAGCCGTAATATGCACTCCGAAACAATGATATTTAGGGAAATGTATCAAATACAACTCAAAAATATCATTGCCAAATTTTATCGAGATCGGTTCAGCTTTGGATATAGCTCCCATATATGTATCATTATCTGATTTCAAATTAATTTTGCAAATGGGCAATACAAGTCCGAATTTAAAAGATACAAATGCTTCGGCATATTTAGTCCTTTGAACTTTAAATTATAATTATAATCATAGCGTGTTTGCTTAAATTCCCCCATAAAATCTTTTAATTGTTATGTCGAGCTCTACCAAATTAGCAAAGTGTTATAGGGGTATCATAAAGTCGGCCCCGCCCGACTTTAGGACTTTCTTTACTGGTTTTGTTTTAATTTATCCTCTAATATTACAAAATAAAACTCAACTCCGATCTATTCGAATTTCAATTTGCAATATGTTACTCTTCAGTTATTAAAACTACTTGGTTAGAATCCCACATAATTTTCATTACTTATCTCTATTTTCTTCCACAAATGTTAAGTACTTATGATATCCGATGCCCTCATTTATTTATATTATAAATAAGTTTGAATTTGTATTTAAAATATTCGAAGTGGAACAGTTCATCAATATATTCTATGTTCATTCGTCAATATACCACATTCTTTGTAAAATGTCTAAACCACCTTCGTATTTTATTTATTCATGCAGCAGAGTCATTAGCTACACCTAACGGCCCCAAAGGCTTATGAGTTTTGCTGGATGAAGCAGCACATAACAACTATATATTTTCCTAATATGTACCTTCATGCCACCACCACCACTAAAACTATGCATATTTATATTAGAAAAGTTGAAGTACACACTCATGGCAAAGTTTTCATCAGACGCTCGCTTGCGCACTCACTCACAGCCACACCATATGTTCTGACTTTATGCATTTGATTATTTTCAATATTGCCATTTTTCCTACACCCACATTCCTCAATCCTCAATTAGTGAAATCCCTTGGTCCATCATGATCCTAATGGATGAATCGTTTTGTTTCCAAGCGCAAGACAGACAGGCAAACAAACGGTCGGGTGGTCGGTCGGTCGGTCGGCGGTGGGTCCACCAGTCCGTCCGCTGTGAGCTAGGTATGGCCACCATGTACATTGATAGCACCAAAAGGTAAATCTTTCCAATTCGTTACACTTGGTTTGGCAAAGCCAATGAAACATTACCATGTTTTGCACGCCTTTGCAACGCCGCAGGCCATAAACATAATAAGTCACACCATGGCGAGAGAGAGTGCGACTGAGGGAGCCTGCTCCTCATGTAGTTGTCGTCTTGGTCGTCGCCATCGTCGCCGTGTCATGGCATGGCATGGTGTGGTGTTTTTCCTTCATCATTACCATTTCCAGTGAAGTTTCGCACGTATCCACCTCCAGGGACTGTTACCACGGCTCTACCCTTCTTAGCTATATTTGCTTTATAGATTTTGCTTATTTTGTTTCAGTTTTTTTTTTTTTTTTCGTTTGAAATTGTTTCTCCTCCATCCATCC